TTATGTCAAGTTGTTCTTTTTCTCCCTATATCCTGGTTTCTGACTCTAAAGTAGCTTATGCCAGTTCATCTGCAGTGCTGACATTCAAAAACATGTATGACTGGCAGCAGTAAAATTTTATTTAGCCTCCTCAGTCTAAGAAAGAAATTGGTTTGGCATAAAAACATTTAGTAGCAAAATCAAATGTGTTGTATTGTTTCTGTTGTTGTTTAGTTCTTGTTTTCCCCTTGTGTTCAAATATCTTGAGGAAAGGCTGGTGATGATGGCTGACAGTTCACTGTGGGAATTGCTTTTCCTGCTCAAATGATTACCACGATTGTTAGTAACAGCCTGAGGGGGCATGTTTCTGGTCAGTATATGTAAAAATGTAAGGACTGCTGCTTTATAGGGTTTCAAAATCTTAACTCTACAATCCTGCTATCTAGATGCTGAATTAACAAAGATATTGCAATATAGAAACCATTTTTACCCAGTTTCCCTCTCAATGGAGAACCTAAAACTCATTTCTTAGACTGCAGGCTTGATGACTGGCTTGACATTGTTAAATTAAATCAAATACACTAACAGTCCTGTTACCACAGTTACAGATCTTTAATACAGAGATAATGTGGTAGCTGCCTCTTCTCGTTTCATGAATACATTTTTTTATTATCTTAGTGAAGGCCTAATTACTGAGCCAAAAAGAGAGCTACACTGGGACTCAGGAGATGTTGAGTTCTTGTCAGCTGTTAGCATGATGGAATCCATTTGCCCCACTTCCACATCAAAGAAATAATAATAATAGTAATTCATCTACTTTTAGAAATGATTGGATTTAAACTGCCTTTTACTGCACGTACATCACACACTGGTGTTCGTCTGATATTAGACTCATCATGTTTTATTAAAATGTAGATTTTGCTTATTGGAACATTTCATTATTTGCCTATCTGCTTTCAAAACCACTACTACTTTGTATACAACAAGTAGTATAAATGCAAAAAGGAAAATAATGTATTGATTCTGGATAAGATCCCTAAAATGTGAATAATCAGGAGTGGGGTTAGCATTTTAAAACCCAAATTCTCCCAGCAAGTTCTAAGTATTGTAAAAATCATATTAGGCAATTGTCACTTTAGTTGGATTTTAAAAGTGCATTTTTGTGTGACTGTAAATTGTGTGGTCTTTGCCATCAAAACCTGTAGAGTGCAGAGCAGCCAATATTGTGATCTCTGGTATTGCCGGGATCTACCATTCCTTCTGTATTCACCAACATGTTTCTGATATTTCATATTCAGTCTCACATTTGCCCTATCATCCACAGATGGTAACACTGACTCCAATTTACTCCATCCTGCCTTATCCCTGCACCAACTTGCACTCAGAGGGGATGAAAGATTTTGCAATGCAGATGTCCAAGCACTGCTTGGCAGGTCATAAATCTTAGGTCAGAAACGGAAGGTCCTGGGCTTGGTGAGTACCTTTTCCATTCCTCTGCGTATGTAGTTTGAGTGACACTAGCCTTTCAGAGCTGTGCATGAGTGAGGGATGGGAAACAGCAGAAAAAAAATGTACTCATTGGCTGGGGCTGCTGCCAGTGCAGCTCAGGAGCCTTACCCGGCCTGCCACAAGGAGGAGGGCACCTTTTTTCTTTTATCTTTTCTCCTTTTTCCTTTTTTTTCTCTTTTCTTTTCATTTATTTCCTGGCAGCGCCCTCAATTTTGCACTTCAAACCTCACATCCTGTCTTTGCTGTGTTTAAAACAACAGCTAACCTTTCTCTGCATCTGCCAGGGCTGCTTGTTGTTCTGGTTTGCTTTCCAGATCACAAACGCTGGAGAAGTGAACTGGTGTCTTCTGGGGGATTATGTCCACAGGCACAAAAGGCAAACCTGCCGTTAATCACTGTTATTTCCTGTGGCATGCAAACAATGCCTTTCTTGAGGTGAAATGGGGTTATACACAGTTTGAACTGCACAAAGGCTATTTGCTTCTCCCGTACAGCAGTGAGTGAATTTGCTCCCATGTTCCTTGACACAGATGTACACTGACTGAGCTCTAAGGAAAAAGGAGCTGCTTAAATGCTGTATGAAGAAAGATGAGAGCTGCTTTGGTCAACACAACTCCATCCAGTTACTGCAGAGCTCTGTCAGAAGCTGGTGGAGGGACTGATCCCATTTCTGGTGTTGGATACCATGGGATCAGACAAGGTGCCAGAGTTGGGAGGGTCAGAAGCTAAAGCTGTAGAAAGTAATATTCTGAATATGCAGACCGTAAGCAGCATACCTAGAAAATGGGGTCAAGAATCTACAAATAATATTTATTTTCTGGTAAACATGCTTAAGCCTAAAAGAATAAATTACTATGAACATGTTCCCTTTCACACTTCTGAATCAATTCCAGCTTTTCTTCTTAATGTTTAAGAGGTTCCTTGTGGCACTGATTAAATCTGCTCACTGGAGAAAATAAAAAGGTACTGAACATTTCAACCCACTGATCCAACAGAAAAGCACTGACTGCCAGTCATAACACCAGTGATCCTAGTTGGATAAGAAAAGAAATGAAGAATTATTTGATATGGCAAAGAATGATAATTTACTTTGTATTGTGTGAATCATGGCATATTTTTTTCCGATACCACAGCTGAATAGGATTTTTCCTACTGATAAATGCCTGAAAGGAAGAGATATGCTGTTATCTCTGCTCTCTTTGATAAAATGAAGATATCCTCATCTAAGAAATAACATTCATCCCTACGTCAAAAAGTCACATTTGCTGGGCAATAAAACCTAATTTTTTGTGTATAAATCTGAACTAAGCTAAATATAACTGACTATGTTATACTCCTGTGAAAAAATAAAGGTGGTATCAAATGCTACCATGTATTTCTAATTTCCCAACCATGTCACAATAATTCTACACCTACTTCTAAAAAAGCATTTAAAATCTATTACTTGGTGTCTGGTATTAATCCTCTTAGTGGACTCAATGCAGATGTGTGGAAAAATGCTAGTCAGCTTTAGATTAGATTCTTAAATACCTGAGGAAAGTAGCAAAATAAAATCCCCAAATCCTTGTTATATCTGGTGTCTAAGTAAAATTCAGAGCAGGGCTAGTATAACAGGTTTGTTGGTTTTTTTTAGTTTTGGGTTTTGGTTTTTTTTTTTTTTTTTTATAGAAAGTTGAATATTGAAATGGAGACCTTATTGTGGGAGTTAGGAGACATGGGCTAGACTATGTAAAGCTACAAAGTGACCTGCACTTACTAATTTCTCTTTTCTTTGTTAAGGATTCAAATTGAATTCCTGGTCTTGGGATTCATGCATGCACAAAATACTGTGATCAGATTTGTCTGGTTTAGATTAAGTACAGCTTACTTTGCAGAGACGTACATGGACACCGGCAGCTCCAGCATGGACTACATGAATGTATAAAAAACAATGCAGAAGGTTATTTCACCAACACTGTTAATCAGGACATGACCCAAGTTGCTCCAAGTGCCTTCTTTCCCAAACAATTCAGTATTCATTTGTTCTTGTTCCTCTAACAATGGAGTCCATATGAATATTTTTTTTCTTCCCTGATGTGGTGCCTTATAAGCAAGGTAAAATTGTTTCAAATATAATTTATTTTCCTTTTAAGGTGGATGTACAGTTTGGAGTTATCCCCTGTATGTAACCAGGTATTCTGTGACTAAAAATTAAAAATTAATTAAATTTAGTAATTTAATAAAAATTAATTGAAAATACACAGAATTAGCATTACATTCTAAGTTTGGAGATGGAAACAGTAAGTAGCATAAGGAGAAAAGTTAAGTAATCTTTAGAAATTTTTTGCATTTTACAATCAGATATACAATGTCCGTTCTGCCTTTCTACTCTGCAAGAGAAAAAAAAGGTGCTAAAAGAGGAAGTGTTAGTTTGTAGTTGTTTTTTTTCCACTGAAACAGTGTAATATGCTTGGATAGGGGGGTTGGTTGGTGTTTTGTTTTTGGGTTTTTTTTTTGTTTGTTTGTTTGTTTTTTTTTTGTTTTGTTTTGTTTTGTTTTGTTTTGTTTTTATTATTATTATTTTATTTTATTTTATTTTATTTTTTTTTGAGTCGATATTAAACATGTGGATCTGTAAAGAGCACGGACTCCAGAATCAACAACATGATAATGCCATGCTCCTCGGGGCTGACATAGCTCGAGCAGTGCATGGAAGCCCGGGCCAGCGCTGTGCCTGCCCTGGCTCCCGCAGGGAGGCAGAGCTGGGCAAGCAGGCTTTTCTGCTGAGTTTTATTACAAGGCTGACTTTAAAGCAATGCAGAAAAGTTGTTACAACTGTTGCAGATGTATCCAAGTTTTCAATCAGCTAAGATCAGCATCATGGGTGTACTGGTTTAACCCCAGATGGCAACTGAGCCCCATGGAGCCGCTCACTCGCTCCCGCCCGGTGGGATGGGGGGAGAGAATCAGAAGGGTAAAAGTGAGAAAACTCATGGGTGGAGATAAAGACAGTTTAAAAGGTAAAGCAAAAGCAATGCATGCAAACAAAGAAAACCAGAGAATTCATTCACCACCTCCCACTGGGTAGGCAGGTGCTCAGGCATCGCCAGGACATCCGGGCTCCATCACGTGTAATAGTGAATTGGGAAGAGAAACACCATAACACTGTTTGTCCCTCCCTTCCTTCTTCTTTCCCCATCTCTGTGCTGAACATGACACCACATGGTCTGGAATACCCCTGGGGCCAGTTGGGGTCAGCTGCCCCGGCTGTGCCCCCTCCCAGCTCCTTGTGCCCTGTCCCAGCCCCCTCACTGCTGGGGTGGGGTGAGGAGCAGAAAAGGCCTTGGCTCTGGGTAAGAGCTGCTCAGCAATAACGAACACATCCCTGTGTTACCAACACTGTTTTCAGCACAAATCTAAAACACAGCCCCTTATGAGCTACTATGAAGAAAATTAACCCTATCCCAGCCAAAACCAGCACAACAGGCCAGCTCCCTGATGATAGCCGTGAGGCTTTCCAATGCAGGCAGCACACCACGTGACTCCATCAGTGATGCAATTTGGATGATTTCATGCAATGCAACACTACTTTGTGCAGATCATCAGCGCCTCAGCAATGTGAGTATTTAGTTCATATTAAGGCTGCTCTCGGGTATTTCGGTGGAAGTTGAAAACCCCATACTCAGGGAGTTGTCAAACTTTCAGTCCTTAGTGAAACAGTGCAGCCCTGGTCAGACTAAAAACCTTGGAAACTGGACTATTGATTTGGTAGGTTGTAAGAGACGACAGTTGGGACAGGATTTCATACTGTTTTCCAGCTTCCTATCTTGGAGTGGTGTGAGGTTAATATTTAATTTTCAGAACTACTGTTTCCTGAGGACAAAGTAATTTTGTCTTTCAGGATTATCCATCAGGAGTTCCTTGTGATCCCAGTATTCCCGAAGAATCTGTCAACACTGGTGCTGACTTTCTTACTGTAAGTCTCTAATTTAGGCTCTATAACCTCTGAGCATCGAGTTCTTAATCTGTTACTTCAAGGTATATAACAGGTGATCCAAACTGGACTGCAGTTAATACCTTGCTGCAAAGGTATTCAAAGCTGTGGGATCTGGTGAAGAGGTAAGTCTATTTGTTGTGCTGTCTGTGCAAGGAACTTGTAGTTGATACCATCTGAAATATCTTATATTTCAGAATGATGCTACTTTTCATAGCCTACTTGACACTGTGATTGTTTCATTTTAAGAATTAGCTAGCTAGTCCTTAACACAGAAGGAGCAGACTATCTTTCTTCCTTCTTGTGAAAACATCACACATTTTTGTTTATACTCATCTATCAAACAGGTTTATCTTCTTCCTAGGTAACTAGTACTTGTTGGAAGTGCTCCTAAGCCTTGTGGAGTAGGAATGGATAATGAAAGAAAGGGATAGTGGCAGCCTAGAGATGAAAATATCAAAAGTGCATTTTGCACTTTTCATCATTCTGTGATTCTGTGATCCATTATTTAGACCCTTTGACAAAACAGAACTGTTCTTTGCTTTGTTTTATAATTCTATCCTGAAAATAAGACTTGCATATTGCATCTCATTAGGTTTTATCTGCACCTGTACACATTGTACATGTAAAAATATCCAAAGGCTTCTGGAGGATGAAAGACAGGACTTTCAACAATATGAACAGAAGTTTAAAAGACCCTTATACTTTTGTTTTTGTTTTTTAAAGCTCACTTTATCATGTTCATTGAATGATCTTGGAACCCAAAACATTAAAGTAACTAGCAGGAGAATTCTTAAAACCTAAGAAAATATTTGTCATTCACTGTAATGTGTTATAAAAAAAATCTAGAATGTAGGGGGTTTTATACAATCTAAAGATTAAAAATTCATTAATATGTAAATGCCAATCCATTACAGTAAAAATAGAGACTACATGTTTGTAGACAATAGGACCTCTCCACAAGACAATCCTCTGCAATATATTTTACCAGTTTCTCTGTAAACCTGGAACATTTTATGATTATCATTAATAAGCATTGTGTAACTCTACAGTGACCCTTGCAAAATCAGACATTTCAGTTTAAGATATTCATGGTTGTGGGAAAATAACAGAAGATTGGTGAGGACTGTAAACATGCTCAAGTGACTTGCAGCTGGGGTGTAGAAAAACACATATATCACACTAATGGTTTAGTCTTGTGTATTTGACAAGTAGAACATCTGTGTTTAGATACCACAGGCCTGTGATAGAGGCACCTTATAGAACACCCTCGAGATTTCTGCCCTGCTGTGGGAAAGATCAGAGCACGGTGGTAAACTATGCTTGCGCGAATCCCTGATACAGAGGTGAAAGCAGCAGGTTCGACGATGCTCCAGCATGGACTGAGCTCCGCGGTGCCTGTGTCCCTGTCTCTGTTCCTCTGGCCGGGTGCTGCTTCAGGGATCCCCCAGTTGGCAAGGTAATAAAAATTAATTTACTCTGCATTTCATCCATAGTTTTGTGGGGTTTTCTGCATCCTGCCTGTGCCAGCTCACACAATGGCTTATCTATGTAACACTGATTTTAACTGCATCTATTGATTATGTTTAACCTGAAAATATTTGAAATATACATCATGTTTTGTAATAAAGTAGATGCTTTCTTAAATAGTTGAGCTGAAAGTGAGGGATTTAACACTTACCTGTCAATCTCACATTATGCAACAGCAAATCCACCAACAAATGGTGTACTTTGAGCTATAACACTACGTCTTCTTTTTTGTTAAAAATTAAATTTATGGTAAACTTTATTTAACAGAAACCTCTGGCAACCTTTGTTTTAGGGTGATCATCTGGGTCCAAAACTCCAGCTGCTTGTACATGAAAGACCTTCAGCAGTTCTTCTGATACTCTCTTTCTGGGTCTCTTCATTCTTCATCATTAAAGGGCTGCTAATGGATTAAGGACAGTGGGTGGCTCTGCAGAAGCTACATGGAAACAGGAAAGTACAGTAAACTTCGAACCACACACAAAATGTATTTGGATACAGTCAGGTTTGAAATTAAAGTACTGTCTGTCCTCCTTGGGCTTCACCTTTTACTGTCAAATTTGTTATCAAAAGAGTGAACAAATTAGTAAGTGCCCTCATTTCCTACCTCAATTCTCACCATCATCTATGTCTGGATTCTGCATCACGAAACCGTACCTCTTTGTAAGACTCATTTTTGCGTTAGCTATCTAGAGGAAAATGTTTTTTGAAATAAAAGAACTTTAAAATTTTATGAAACTTTTAGAAACTTTGGACCCTTTCAGACTTAAAAAGTGTTTCCTCAAGCAATATGAACATACTGCACTGTTTGTACTTCTCCAGATAGTATCATACTGTTAAGTATTAAGGCAGTATCAGACATTAGAATGAACCAAAGATAAGGTAATGATTTACTCAAAGCACCAGTGTTTTCAGGAAATCTTTCAGATAATAGTCCATCAGAGTAAGCACTGATCAAATATATTTAGGGTTTCGTGTGTTTTTTTCTTCCATTGACAGATATTTCAGAGAAACCAGCTGTCTTTGCTGAACGTTTAGGTTACGGTGGAAACTTCTTCATAGAGGAGAAGGTGATAGTGTAAAGATTATAGGAAACCTATGACTTTTTTAGGATTATACTTTATTGCGAATAATCACTTGATATACATGCAAAAATCAGTAGTTATATGAGCAAATTGGAACCGCCTCCTTAATGGAAGAACACTGGTGCTACTTTAGCTGTAGAAGTTATGCTGAGAGACATGACTACCTTCTGGAAATACCGCACCGCTTGATTTTAAGCAAACGTCTGACCTCCTGCTCCACTGCCCTAGCAGAAGCAAGCGGTGGAAATAGCGAAAATGCGCCCGCGGAGGGCCGCGGCCCGGGCCCGGAGCGGCTCCTGCGCGGGGTCCGCACGGCTCACACGGACCCGCCCTGGCTCCGCGCCCCTGCGCGGCCCCGCCCCGCCCCGCAGCGCGGCCCCGGCCCGCCCCGGGGGCGGGGGGGCGGGGGGGCGGGGCGGAGCTCGGCGGCGGGGTCCGGTGCGGCTGGCGGCGGGGTCCGGTGCGGGACGACGTGGAGCGGCTCCTCGGCGTTGGGAACGCTGTGAATATAAGTGTCTACCGTATATGATTTCTTCTAGCTGGTCCTTTCAGGTTTGGTTTGTTTTGTTTTTTTTTTTTTTTTTTTTTAATATTATTATTCATCGCTGGGATATTTAATGATTAGAAAGGCTCTGAAAAGGACCTGGTGATGAGAAGGGCCACGTTTTCCAGTTGCAGATTGCCCATTAAGTTAGAAAATGCCTTTCTTTAGTAAAGTAACTCACTTTCAAAGACTGGTTTAAGGAAAGATCTTGCTGCCCAGGCTGTCCTGGGAGAGCCCTGCTCAAGAGAGCTGACAGCCATGGGCACGGTGCAGGCAGGGGTGGCCGTGTCACCCAGCAGTGGCCGTGTCACCCAGCAGTGGCTGTGTCACCCAGTGGTGCAGCGAGCAGTGTTACAGATGTGCCCTGGCCTCGGCGAGGCTGGGTACCTGGGGTGTGACTTGGTTTTCTGGCTCGTAGGTGGTGGGACTGCCCAGGTTTCAGGAGATGGGTCTATGCAAGGTGAGAGTGTACCTTACTGCATCAGAACAAAATAATTCTATGACAATTTATAGCTCATTTAATTCCTTCACTGGAGGCTATTTTGATAACTTTAGCCGAAAATAATCTGTTTACTTAGATCAACTAGATTGTTTTTAAGTAGACTGTTTCTCCAGCAGTCAAGGTTAAAATCCAGTAGCTGGATAGTCTAATATAATGTGATGAAAAGACGTGCCACAAAGCTAGTTAGGGTGAACTAATGCATGCCTCATAGCTATTTGGCTTTCTAAGTCTGTTTTTGAATCATAAACTTTCTCAGAAAGGGCCTGGCTTGGTATTTAAATGGCACCATGTGTGAAGTTTATGTTAATGTTCTCTTGGCACTATTTTAGTGAGCTGGGTAGGAAACGAAACTGATTGTCGTGCTAGGATACTGGTTTTCTGATAAAAAACAGAAGCTCTGTAGTTAACTGAATTAAGACATCTCTAAATCAGTTGCATCATATCTATTGATATGCATCAGGGTAAGGGAGATGTAGCTGTGTAATGCAGTTCTGAAAATGAGAAAGTGACTGAAAAGAAACATGCTCATTCTTCCGTGCCTTAAAAAGGATCAATCTAGTGATGTTATTTCCTTACTGTTCTCTGAACTAGAACAGTTGTTTTCTGACTTCCTTCCGAACCAGGATTTCCTTGATTTCCTTTCCAAAAGATTTTGGCTGTCCTTACATGTCCAGGCTCAAATCTGGAGGAGGAAAAACACTGTGCCTGAGCACCTGGATGCCTCTGAGGGTTGCTTCCATGTTATCCATTTGAATAACAATTCAAGGAAGTAAGGAGAAAGTGAGGAACTGGTTGGATGTGCCGGTGAGAGGGTTTAGGCTATCGCAACAATTGACTGCTAGTTCTGAGAGCAAAGGGAAGAAGCCTGGAAACTCCTATGGATGTGGAGAAAGGCTGGCAGTATGGGTTCTAGATAGTACAACACACAGGGACAGGGTATGAAGAATGAGACTTCTTGCTAGGAGTTCTTTTCTCTCGTGAGCAGTACAGCAAATGAGGTGTGGGGGGTCTGCTGCCAGCTTGCTAACTGCAGCTGAACGGCTGCTCTTGGCAGTCCAGGGAGCGTTCGAGGCGGCGGGGGGACAGATGGTTCTTTTGCCTTTCGTTTCCTCTCTGCGTTGCAGTGGTTGAGGGTGGAAGCCATGCTGCAGGGTTCAGGTTGTTTTTGTAGGAGAGGCGGCTGGCTGCGTGTGGGCTGGGCAGGAAGCCACTGCCTTTCCCACTCAGAGGGACCTCAGACCATCCAGAGACTATATTGTAAGGGTTGTTCTTTACCAGACAGCTGCTTTGCATGAAGCATCTCCAGTTCTCCTGGTGCTTCCCTCCTGCCAGCAAAATGGCTTCTGCTTTCCCTTGTGTAAAGCTGAACCCAGGTATCTCCCCTCTTCCAGAGAAGAGAGGGTATTTATAGCTCATCTGTACTCCCTTTGGGAGAGTGGACCCAGAGCCAGAGTTACTGTGGGAATCTGTCTGGAAAGGGCAACACTCAGCAGCTTTTCCTGGCACAGGCTCCCTTGTATAGCCCTAACCTAAAATAGCCCCAGTGAGGGGTGAGGTGCTGGGAGCCCAGAGCCTGGTCACCATCCTCCTCTTGCCCTTCTGCACTCCAGCTGGGGGATTTTGCAAAATGTTTGATCAGCAAATACCTCAGGTAATGTAATAAAATGTGAAGGACCCTTATAATCCTAGCATAATTTTGGTTGTAAAGGTCATTGGGAGGACCTTTGGAGGTTATTTGGTCCATTCCTCTGCTTAAAGCCACACTAAATTAAAATTAAGTCAGATTGCTCAGGGCCTTGTAAAGTTTTTTAGAAGGTGTATGCAGAGATATGTAGCTGCTTCTTCTGAAACACCACTGCCAGCTTATCCACTCCAGTACAATTTACTCTTGATTTATGTTGTGCATTCAGGTTGCAGCATGTGGCCAGCGTAGCACAAGGGATTCATGCATCCACTGTTTTTGTTGAACTAACATTAATTCAGTGATGGATTTCTACTTGCTGAAGCACTTTCTTTTTTTTTAATTATTATTATTTTTTTTATTTAATTTTTTGGAATTTTATCTCCATTACAAAGAAACAGCATTTTCCCTCTTTCGTATTAGTGGGAGCTAAATGCAAGTATCTTTCCTTTTCCTTGCTAAGTAAGTAACATTTCAATGATTGTTCCCTGTATTTATTTTAAAACTGCTACTAGAACTAGTAACACCTAGAAGCATGTAAAGCCTCATTGTATTAAATTCAAATGAAAATGTAGGCTTCAAATCATGGCTTTGTGTATCCTAGGCAGCTGGAACCAATGTGTTTTTAAGTGACTGCTCTGCCCATTACTAACATTTCTTGTCTGAAGTTTTGCAAGGTAGAAATTTCCCCATGAGTAACAATATGGCTGAACAATATATTGTGCAATATAAAGGCTGACAAAAGTGAGTTTTTGTTCCTTGTTCCTTTGGTATTTCAGAATTTCATGTCATTTTACAATCTTTATACATTATTTGGATTAAAAGCAGAACATTACTGACTGTGTTAATTTTGATGATTGAATTGGAGGTGGTAGAAGGAGTCTAGATAAAAAGCAATAGGAGTAAAGAGACAATTTTAATAAAAAAATTAATCAGATATTCTCTTTAGCATCATGTCTGGTGAAATGGGAGTTGAACTTTGTAAAATCTTTGTTGCTTTTCTGGCTATAGGCATATCAACATTTTCTAAATCCTAGACTGTGTGTTGGTATATTATGTGTGGTTGTAGGGAGAAAAATAAAGCTTTTCTTTTAAATAAATCATATGATTCTGTCTCTACTCCCCCTTTTACCAAAGGGTTCACGTTCAGGTAGCTGGAACTTCTCACAGTATAAACTGCTAAGCTGAAGTGAGCTAGATGCCACGACATCCCAGAACTGGTAAACATCCTCCTGTGATATACGCTTTCACTCTGGGAGTGAAAAGCAGGCAGGAACTGCTTTCAGTTTCAGTTTCATTCACAGCTTTGAACAACCATCTTCATTGACCTGAACTAGTTGTAAGAACCATAATAGACATAATATATTACTAATTCAATTTGCATTATGTTATTTTTAAAGAATAAGTAGGTTTATTGTTTATTTTAAAGGTCTTGATCCTATAAAAAGCAGCTCCTATACCATTCTTTTTTATACTTCCTCTTATGGATCTCCTGGCCATTTTGGACCTCTGTCTTTAGTAGAAGTTGCTGCCATTGCCTTGCTTCTCTTGTACCTCAGAGACTGAAGGAAGTATCTCTCAAAGTTGATGCTGGCTTCAGTAATCTGCCTTTTTTAAACTTCTTGTGTCAACCCTGGAAGAGTAGAAAGAAAAGGACAAGCAGTTGGCCCTTTCACTCATGATATTCTGCTGTGGAAACCCACTCATCTGTGCAAGCCTGCCCTTTATGATGATATGGAGACAAAAATTGGATATGTGATATTTAGTAGTACCACTTCAGAACTAGAATAGCATAAAAAACTGAATAGGCGGTAGCATGGTATCACAGCTGCTCCAGGGTTTACCCAAGCAGGTTTTGTAGTCACCATCAATACACTAAAATAGTTGCTCTGAAATTACTGCAGTAATTTGTTCATATGAATTGCATGATCTTTCTGAATGGCTGCACAACGGAGTCTTGCACTGCAATGAAATAACTGCTGATCCTGATGCTTTCCTCGGAGTTGAGGATGACTTCAGGATACTGAAAGCATGAATGCAGGCATAGATAATTCAGACTTAATGTTTTGGTGGAGATGTAGCCTAGAGCATATTTAAAGTTATTTCAGCTTGTATTTGTAATTAGGCTCTTCCATACGGTCTAGATAGGCAAGTATCTTTTATTAATAATAGAGAATTCTGAATAACTGCTGTGAAATTATATATTAAAAATCCCATGAAATAAATATGTTATTTTGCAGAACAATTATAAGCAGATCCACAGCAATGCAAGGTGAGTAAAATATAAACAAAATATAATATTTTGTTAATATCAAAGATAACATGTGTCCTTCCAAAGTGTCCAAGCAATATTAGTTTAGCTATTAGATTATATTCTATTATGATGAAATAATTATGAATACTTTAAATTATTTAAATTTTAAAATTGAATAATTTACAAACCATATAGCTTACATTTTCAGATCTTGATTTCTGAAGTTAAATAAATAAATAAATCATACTGAAATTCAAGTCATTTCTGCTTACAAACTGAACTTAGTAAATGTTTTTAAATCCATAACCCTGTGAGTCTGCTGGTGAGGCATTAGTATAGTCCTAACTTGAAGAAATTGAGAAAAAATGTTTTGTATAGTGGAGAATGGCTCATTACCAGTCTGTTCCGTCCAGAAGGGTAGCCTGTCAGTTCCCTGGCAATTCTTTGAATTAAAGCCTCCTTCTAAATATCAGTGAACAAAGGCACCTCTGGTCCAGGCAGAGAGTGAACTGACCCTGCTTGAGCACGAATCGGACTAGGTGATCTCAAGAGGTTCCTTCTGAGCAAAATGATTCTGTGATTTTGTAACATCTTCATGACATCATGTGCAATACCCACCTTTTTTTCTGCACTTTAAGGATCAAAACTCCTTTAAATTATACTGGTGTTTAATATTTTGAATAAATACAAGCTTGTTATACAGTTTTTCCTATAGAGAAAGCAGCTACTTAATTTTCTTGTATGTCTACCCTGAAAAAGGAGGCAATGTTGTAGATTTTTCACCCTCAGGTAGGAGGAAATGAGCAATACTCAAAGCTTATGTTCCGTTCTTCCAGCACATAAACCGGCCCCAGCACCTGGATTTTCAAACGTTAGCTATGTGCCAGGGAATCAAGCCCCCTATGGCTACCCGCAGCATGCACCAGGGACTTATCAAGGTAGGTTGCTTGGCTACAGATCTGCTATATCATTGGGAAATAAGCACGGGAAGTAGGAGATTTTATGAAGGTGACTATCTGATTTATTCTTCTGCTGTTAATACTGTAGTTTCTGTTAATTTCTGCTTTGCTGAAAAGTCATCTTCTTTCCTTCTTGGTGCTACATGTTAGCATGTGCTAAGCAGTACCAACAGTGGTAGAAGTTAAAAATGTTGGCTGTTCCTCAGTGGTCACTGTGGGGAGTGTGTTAAGAGAGGTGTTACTGATGCAAAGCAATTAATATGTGGCAGCTTCTTGCTGATGATCATATTTTTAATTAACATGTTATTTCAGTTTTTCACTTTATTTCTCTGTGGAAATCCAGAACTGAAGAAAATAATTGTTTTCTCCTTGTAGTTTGGCTGGTCCATGTATTCTGTAACTGTTTCCTACTCTGTTGCTATACTTTGCATGTGGTTATACCTTACATTTAATTCATTTGCTTTCCTCCTATCTTATTTTCTGTTCCACATCCAAAATGCAGCACTCCTAAATAGATTCTCATGTTCTGGCAACTAATTGGTTTCTGAAGAACCAAATCACAATTAGCAGTATCTAACAACGAGGATCTAATAGTAGGTTATAGATAGAATGCAAAAAGTTTGGCCTAAGTTACTGTGCTGTTCCTGAGTTAAAGCTTGGGCAGCTTGTGCACATCAGACAATCTGAGGTCTGTAGGTACAGTCAGCTTCATCAAGAAGTGGACACGTGCTACCTGCGCTGTGAAGGTCAGGGGAGAATTTTTCCTTTTGAATAGCGTGTGTGCACACTCACACAATGGCAGTAGATAGTTGTGCGCAAAGCCTGTGCTCAGACATAAAAGTGATTTTGTATTTTATAAGGGTGGATCCTCCTCTGGGGTGAGTGATCCTACCACCTACGAGCCTTAAGCCACAGCTGCTCACATCACCTGAGGTAGCATCCTGCTCACGGCCTCAGCGTGAGCTTTCGCATGGTACAGTCCATGCTTTGTAATGCAACATGAAACATCAGTGCTGAACAGATTTGGCCTAAAGGTAAGTCTACAAGTCAGCATCTCTTCAACTATTGGTCTTTGTAGAGCTCTACAAAAATACTTTGTGGCTTCTGCGTTGTGCTTGATTCTGAGTAAAATATAAAATTCCTCTGCATCAGATTGAAAGCCTATCTGCATATGAGGAAAGTATTAAATGAGGGAAAAAATATAGTCTTTGTTCTGTAACTTTCAATAGCAACTTCGGCAGCTTCAGCTATAAGGTTATAAAGCAGCTCTGTAGCAAAGGCCGTGTTGCCGCAAGGGTTGCAGGGCTCTGCCCGCAGTGTGGGTGTGGGACGGGTTGTGAGCACCAAGCAGTGCTGCGTGTGCCATCTGGTGGGGTGCTGAGCGTTTAGACCCTGAAGTGCTTCATGAGAGCTTGTGTTTCCTATTGAGTGCTAACTGGAGAACGCTTACTTGACATTTACAAAGCGTGGAACTATTTCCTCCTTTGCTACGCAACCAGGAGTTGTGGATTTTCTGAGTTTTGAAAGAGAATCCATTAAACAGTTGGGAAAGTGCAGTTTTTACATCACACTCATCTTGTTTGAAAACTGCAGATGAACTTTGCTGAAAGAATATTTCATATCACATAAGCAAAAGGTATAATTCCAGGAAAACTTTGTCTTAAAATTCCTCATTTGCTCAACTGACAACTTGTAAATGCCAATACTTTTCATGTATTTTAAGGCATTCTATCTTCTCTACTTTCAAATAACTTTCATTTATTTATTTCTAATTTTTGAATTGCCTATCTTTATGTGAATAAAATTTCTGCTATATTCAAGAATGATGCATTTATTTATTTTGTTTGCCTTTTTTTTTTTTTTTTTTCTGGACAGATTAGAACATCCCAATCCAGTGTAACTTCCTTCACTAAAAGTTGTACTATTCATAACTGAAATATATTGTAGATATAAGGATCTTCATAGTTCAAAATAGTGAACAAATTAATCTTTTGAAGATCCATAGTGCAATTATTTTCCAATATCTAACTTTCATAACTGCATCTCTCCTACCATGCCAGATGTCGCAGCTGCGGGGAACTATGGCTTCCAGGTACAGGCCATGGGAGTCCCAGCTGGACTTGCTGTTCCACCCATCCAGAATCAGCCCATCATGAAGGAGGGAACAATCTGGATGCCTGTCCCTCCTCCTCTTCCCAGCTGCCCTACTGGACTGGAATACCTCACACAGGTACCTGCACCCTTCCTCCTTCCCCAGAGAACAGGTATTCACCCGAGAAGCAGCCTGCATCCATGATGCAAAAAACACCTGGCTTTGTCGCAGCTGCGTAGGTTGCTGGTTTGGGCTGCTAAGTGAAATCTTTTGTAGTGTGATTGATGCCTGTTTGAGTGTGGAGGTGCCTGTTACGGCTGCAGCACTTCACAGAGTGCTCTCCTGCCATGTGAGATGCTAAAGGACCTGGGGGCACAGGACTATCATATATCCTTCCTACTTCTGAAGCTACTGTTTGTGAGATGTAATGTGATTTGGCAAGGTGTGGATAATAAATATATATAATGTGGGCAACTGTAGCACATCAGAGGTGCTTAATTTACTACATGATGCTTTCTTCACACCTCTTCATAATGTTAGGAGAGGTGCTAGTCAGACTTCACAATGTAGAAAATGCTAATAGGAATTGTTTCCACATTATAGAATATGTCCTTGACTGTAAAAGCACCGTTCATCTGATCACTTGGAGCAAATATCAAGGCTTAACACTGATGTTTTGTTGCCAGTTTTGTAAATTGCTTTAAAAAAAAAAAAAAAAAAGCACCAGTGAAGGGAGGCTGATTTTTCTGGAATTTCACTCAGAGCTGAGCGGTAGCTGAACTTCTGCTCTAACATTTCTGTTTCCTGCTTTTCTCTGTACAGACTCCTGATGTAGGCATCTGGGATAGGTGGTGTCGGATGCTCTGTCAGGCTCTGTAGCTGAGCTACCCTCAGCCCTGAAAGGAGCACAAGCACATTAGCCCTCCGTGTCTGTAACCAGCCCAGCTTGGGTACAACAACTGCCATCTCTGCTGGTGCTCTGAAACACTGTTCTGCTAAATTGACAGAGGACAGGACAGGGCAGAACGTGAGCTACTTCCACAGCTTTACTGGTAGATGATCTGCCTCTAGACAATGTATTGATGTATAAATCTGCATTCAAAAATGAAACGGCAATGCTTAAAACTAGATTTCTCTTAGTTACAGCTTGTTAACTATTTATTCTGTTTAATTTTTCAACCATGAACAGATTGACCAGATATTAATTCATCAGCAAATTGAACTTCTTGAGAGTAAGTGAAAAGTATTTATAACAACATTGTTTAAATCTAATAATCCCAAGAACAGTAAAATTAAGGCTTTCTTTGACACCATGTATTTATGATGGATTGCCACCTTTCTCTTTCCTGCCTCTGTTATCTGTCTCAATTCCTGCAGAAGTTGTGGAGTAGAAGAAGACAAAAATAGGAGGCCAAAGGATTTTAAGCAGGTTCTATATCTTGAAAGATATATAGCAATGTGACTGAATAATCTTGGTAGCTAGTTATAGCTGAAGTCATACATCTCCCATGTTATTAATTCACATGATTTCTGCTTGCCTCTCTTTTCCTACTTAAGGATCTTCTTTTCTGTCCTCTCTTACTGCAGCTAATTCCACAGACTGGCATGCAGCTCTGATCCCATTTCCAGGCAATCCTGCTGTTTTAGCAAATTGAACTGCTTTTCTTCTGCTCCCCTCATTCCGTTCACTTTAAGAATATCAAAGTCATCTTACCAGTGTCTTTCAAATAGACAAAATAAAATGGACCATCCATCTTGGCTGACATCTAATGCTGTTGCATTTTCTTTCCATAATGCTTCAAAGAGTACTTTCATTTCTTAGAGAAATTAATCAAAATTTCTGTCCTGGCTTTTGTTGCTTTCTATTTGTGCTAATGTGAATCTTGACTGTGAGGCTTTTTTTGTGGCCTTCTCATTTTGAACATATTTTTTTCTTCTAGATCCCTTTTCTTGCTTCACACCCAAATTCACAAGTTTCTTTAGTTCTCATCCCTTCAGCTCTTCCCCAGGAATCTCCCATGCTCTGTTATTTATAACTGTGGTGCTTGCTCTGGCAGTAGGTGTCCGTGTCTGATGGGAGGGGACTGATAAACATCTCCGTGCTCTTTCTGCATTGCCACGTTCATGTGGCTTCTCCCCTCTGAACTTCTCCGTCAGGCTGTTCTGCTCGATGGTCCTTCCCCACCGTTTCCCTGCACCAGTAGCTGCCTTCCCAAAGGGTAGCTTTAGAGTTAGCACGGTGACTTTTCTGACCAGATCCATCTCAGAAATTTAACAGTTCTGTTCCTGTTTTTCAGTTATGACTGGCTTTGAAACAAACAACAGATATGAAATCAAGAATACGCTGGGGCAAATGGTATACTTTGCAGCCGAGGACACTGACTGCTGTACCAGGAATTGTTGTGGGCCATCACGACCTTTCACCCTCCGGATTATAGACAACCTGGGCCACGAGGTGATAACACTGCAGAGACCCCTCCGGTGTTCTTCGTGCTGCTTTCCCTGCTGCTTACAGGAGGTGAGTTGCTCCCTCTCACTGTCCTCCCTCGCGTGGGAGATGATCCACCTGTGCAGTTTTAAGATGGGGTTGTTTTGAATCAGGAGATGAAGTGAAACAAATTAGGTTTTGTCTGTAAGTTGTGGGGAAAGAGATCTGTGGGGTTTGTGCATGAGGTCTCCTTGGTCTGGGAAGAAGCTAGTGTGTTGCAACACTTAGGTTTGCTCTGGCCACTCCTGATTATAGTAATGAAAAATTTGATTCCGCAGTATGTCAGGGGAACTCCTGGCTAGTGCTGTAATCTGTGCTGGGGACGGACTTGTGGTGTAAGAGTTGGGCAATGGCTTTCATAAAATAACAGCTAAGTTTTCACTATGCTGGAGTGAAATTCAACACACAAAATCACGAGCTTTTCTAATATTAAAATAGTTATGGGGTGATGCAACTTCTGAAGCCTCAAATCTGAGCCTACTCAGAACTCTGAGGGATTTGTAGTAGTTGCATCCTGTGATGTCTTCGCCAAATGCTTTCAGGATGCTCACAGCCTTTCTCTCACTAGACTTTGATCTTTTTACTGTAGATACATAGCTTGTGTGCACTGCAGCCTTAGAAGCATTTTATTGTTTTCAGTGAAGGCAAAAGTTGCAATATGTGTGTGGTTTTCTGAAGACATTTGCAGAAAACCCCATGCAGCTTTATGCACTGGAAAACCAGATCGTTGTGGAAAAATAAGTTGCATTTGATTTATGTGCTAGTGTGGATTTTGTCTAACAAGCATATCAAAGCATGAACATTCACATGGAGATTTGCTTTTTCCTGTGAAGCTGGAAGTTCAGGCGCCTCCAGGAACACCAGTTGGTTATGTTGTCCAGAACTGGCATCCCTGCCTGCCAAAGTTTACCATTCAAGATCAGAAAAGAATGGATATATTGAAAATTACTGGCCCATGCGTTATCTGCAGCTGTTTTGAAGACATTAATTTTGAGGTATGCAATGCTGAAAATTGTTTGTATGTATTTTCTTTCATATAGTAGTTTGATATTAGCTGTAGTATATAGTAAGTAATTAGCACATAATCTTTTAATGCTAGTATAATCACTTCTCTAGATAGTCCAGACAAACTTCCAGAAATGACATCTTAAAGCCACTCATCAGTGATCAGTGAGACTGATTCCTTGTGGTTGCACACAGATCTCTTAACTGAAATATTTAGCAGCAAAATCTTTTTCAATCTATTATGTTAGGCCCTAACAAAAAAAGTGTTATTCTGAGCTATATCTGGTATTTATTAAAGTGACTTCCTACAACCACTCATTTAATCATTTAATAATCATTCAATGACCAAGTAAATCAAGATAATTTAGACCTAAAATATAGATTTGAATGACTGAAGAGTTACAACTTTCACTTAAAAATAACAGTGGTTAATGCATCGTTATTTTTGTACACATTAAATAGTAGATACAGTAGTCTACCATTTAATACTTAAAATGATGTTGCAAATAGATGCTAACGCAAATTTGGTATCATTTGATTTTGGGGACGAGTCTTTCACATGACCCTGAAGACTGGATTTAACTTTAGGAAACATACTCTTGACAAAGAGCTAATGTCTGCTTTGAAACAGAAGAGTGCAATTTGTTAATTTTCACTTGAGCAGCTCCTGATACATGGCAGGAAAAACTAATTCACTCTCTTGGCTAAAAGACAACACTTCCAGCAGGGTGTGTGTGTGTGCATGCGGTATCTGTCTTCCAACGCCATTAAAGCATTGAACTTCACAGTCAGATTTAGAATTAAGTTCACGTCTATGTTACTTAAGACTGACTTTCTGATAGTCAGGGGTGCCTTTTTGTACACACGGTTGCATTCAATCATGGCATTAATTCAGATAACACAATCTGAAGCTTTCAAAATGATCTATCGTGAAAAGAATTTGGGAATATTATGAATGACAGATTTTTTTTTTTTTTTTTTTTAAATTTTATATTATACTAGGTAAAGTCTGTGGATGAGACTTGCACTGTGGGTAGGATTTCGAAGCAGTGGACTGGGTTTTTGAAAGAAGCCTTTACAGATGCAGATAACTTTGGAATTTCATTCCCACTGGACCTTGATGTAAAAATGAAAGCTGTCATGATTGGTGCTTGCTTCCTTATCGTAAGTCTGTCATTCACTAATACTTGAATATGAACTGACTTATTAATCTTCATGTTCAAATTGAGCTGGTAAAGGATTTGACTCTGAGCTCCCTGAAAGGGGTGACAGCTTGTTATGAACTTCCTGTGTGTAAAACTAACCATGGAGGGCAACAAAGAATTATTATTTCAGATAATAAGCTTACTCTAGACCTCATGGAATACTAACTGTATTTAATGAGAGCTTTATATACGATGGGTCTGAGAAACCCTGTAAAGGGAAGACTCCTTACAGACACATTAGCAGAGGCAAGCATGTTTATGTGGACAATGAAACCGGAAAAGTGCAGATCAGCAACAGCCAAAAGACCCATCCAAAGCCAAAGCAGTCTGCTGAGCTGTTGAACTGGACAGCTGAATGCTGCAGTCAGTTTGTCCCGGCTCTCCTTCTTGGAAGGATGTGAGCCACTGTGCTGAGCAGGAGTAAGTGCTCTCAGAGGAGTCGTTCCCAATGGGAGGGACTTCTGTGGAAGCAAAGCAAAGCTAACTTCTCAGCTGCACTCTGACTCTGCCATGCCAAATACGGCCGTGCACCTCATTTTGCTGTTTGAAAACATTGTGTGACCCACTCATGTTTCCACTTACCTGTGCAATTTAGCATCAGGTACCATTTCAAAAAGTGCACTACTTCTTAGCCTCTAACAGCCTTGTCCACAAACCAGGTTTTCCTTAGCTGTGTGCGTTCGTGTGCTACCATGTGCATGAAGTACAGCATTAGTGAGTGCAAGCAACCCAGGACTCCAGACACGGAAAATGGGGCCCCTAGATGTAAACTGAAGATAGTCACCATTATGGTGGACTCCAGTTTGAGGTAAAATTGAAAGGACTGAGTCAGGTTGAACAAAGTCAGGGCAGGAATCCTGAGTAAAGGAAATAGAGCTTTGGCTAGTGATAATTTAAAGTTTCCATGTAGGTCTTTTACCATCTCTTTCTCTCTCTATGGGTGACCTGGTCTGAGAGACCTAGGTGAATGGGGGATGGAGAGATCTGCCCCCACCTTCTCATCATTTGAGGTTTCAAGAGGAAGGTGCTTTCTGAACTAAGAACCGCATTTAAGAAGTGTTTTATTTGCTTTTTGTTTCCTTCTTAGGACTTCATGTTTTTTGAGCATGCTGGTGATAAGCAACAGCGAGTAGGAGTTTGGCAATGAAATCTAAAACTTTTATATAAAAGGAAGAAGAATGTAAATCTCCCAACACTCCAGTAAGAAAGTGGAAAATTTATATCTTGGGCTTGTAGTTACATTCCTATAAACTAAAATCTTAATGATCTTTTTTTTTTTTTTTTTTGTAATCTGCTGAAATAATTTGTAGTATTCAAATAAGAACCCTTCTGTACAGATCAGTAGTGTGATTTATAGAAATACATAGCAACCTTTTTTCCAAGAAATTCATAATTGTAAAATAACTAGTTACTTTAACTCCTGAAAAAGAGGACTACTTCTATATTCAATACTAATATAAGCAGTGAGCCTAATAAAGAGATCCTGATCTTTTCCTGTGTATCCTTTGTTAGTTTTGCCTTGGTGTTCACATTCTGTTGTTTCCAACTTCTTATCAAATACATACGTTCAAATCAACGTAATTTTAAGTGAACAGAACTATCAGAAATCACTGTAAATTTATATTAATCTAGTGATAAATCTGCTGTCAAATATGACTTCTGTAGTGTAACTTGGTTTCATAATATGGTTTAGTTTGAAACCAAAGGCTTTGCTTTTCGCCAACAGATGTTCAGAGGAGACAGGAAATATAAACGCCTGTAGTTTCTTCTGTTTAATAATCCTTTCGTAATTGCTTTGTGCATGAGTGTGTTTCTTCCTGAGGCAAGGAAAAACTAGTTACTTACTTTTCAGTTTCTCCCGTCTTTTTTCCTCTTCATTTAGTCCATGGTTTTCACAGATTGTACATCCGTCTGTAGGTGTGAGGGTGCAGAAATAATAAACAGAAAATTCTACTTCAAAAGGAGATGTATGAAATGGCAGGTCTATTTCTTTGCATTTATAGCTTTATTTAAATGTGAAAGCAATAGATAAAGTTGCAATTTTTTACCCCAGCTTCCCACAAGCGTGCTCATATAGCGATTCTTGGGATCCAGCTACAGCGAGTGGTCCTTGTCAGTATTTTCAGTTGTATACCAATTCTGCTAAAGATTCCTTTTGTTCAATATTTTCAATTTATTGATTGCTACTGGCCAGTCAAAAAGCAGAGGAAGAGAAGAATACCATTGCTGCCACTGGACTCTCCTTGATGTTATGAGAATTGTATAAACTCGTGACAATAATCTAGACTGTTCTCAAAGTCTTTAAAATTGTATATTATGCCTTGTTAAAGTTAGCTTCTGCTGCTAAAGACAAAGTTCCTTAAATATGGTGTCTTTAATAATACAGATTGCTGGAGGTGCGTTTTTGATTCATCATTACTATTCTTAGGGAATGAATGTATTGTTATTTTGAAAATATTTTGTGCTTTATTGGCCAGCTATTAACGAGATACCAGAAATTCAGTCTTGCTAAAATCTGCTAAAAGTTTGTGATTACTTCAGTTAGGAGTAGAAGCTACATGTATAGAAACCAAAGCAGCACACCTAGGACCAGACCTGTCCTGTAGGGCTAAGTCCGTCAGTATTATTTTTCCTGCAAGGGGTGATGCACAGCTTTAGGTCTGCTTGTAGCTCTGAAGTCCCAGGCTCAAGCACGTTCAATGGCTGCACTTTCAACAGAGGGCAGAGTTGCTCAAATATTCCACAGATGGATTTTTCTGAGATATTTGAAAATACCTATTTAATTCCATGGCAGGTCCTGCATAGAATTTAAATTTACTTTTTGCATTAGAGTGACATCTGTTTGTGGCTGTTTGAAGTATGGATGGAATAATATTTTGCAAGTAGGCAAAACAGTGATACCTGTGCCTATGCTGAAAAGCATCTTGCATCATAAATTCATCCCTTGACAATAAACTGGGAGTATATGCAAATTTAAGGTATTAGGACCCTAGGGTAATGGGACATAACCAGGAAACTTTATTTTTATTCCTTCAAGTAATTCATAATTTTGTGTTCAAATGTTGTGCTTACATAGTCACTGTAAGTCCTGGAAGCAACATTGTTCCAACAACCTTGCATACAAAATTACGTAGAAAAAGTCACTTACACCTCTGTAGAGCAGTAAGGGAAGAATGTGAGAATGCAAATAGTCAAGAATGATCAGCTTCATATCAAGATGTGTAGGAAAAAAATGTTGCAACTCTTGTATTTTAAACGGAATTGCAGTTGGAAGCAGCAACAATTCTTTAAAGTGTAATCAAAGAAAAGATATCTCGGCTTACAAAGAGGTTTCTCAAATACAGTGAAACCTAACAATGAAGTTGTTTAAGTTGTGCTGTTGTCATTTAGATTTATTGATTTTGTGCTGCTTCAGTCTAGTGGTCAAATTGCTACAGCTTATTCCTTTAGCATGTTTTTAGCAAAATTGGTAAATAAGGTGAAGAATTAGATAGCCCAAGAGAGTCAGTATGTGAATCCAGCTGCATAGTAAGGTGTAAGAAGTTCAAGCTAAGCCTCTGAGATTTGCCAGAATTGTGGTAAGAACAGGAAAAAAGTTCTACAACCTCAGATCATAAAAGGACATAGAGAGCATTGGACTAGGGGAACTTTCCATCAGTTGGGTAACTGGATACCTCTGACACTCATTACAGTTTTGTCTTGTGAAATGGTTCACAGTCTCTCATAAAGGTAAAAATATTGCATGAGAAGTCCTAATTAAAGCTATCAAGGGGTAACTCTTTAGTTACCAAACAATATCTTACCACCTTTGTGATCTTTTTCACTTTTTCCTAATGGTATTTAATTGAAAAATGCTTATTCCATAAATTTTTCTAGAACTTCTGGAGACATCTGTATTCTCTTGCTCATTCCTGAAACTGATTGTGCTAAATGCAGAATAATCATTCTTTGAGGTGTCTTTCTTCATTCTGAAAGAACCCATAATAGCATCCATATTTAATAAATCACCAGACTCTAGAACTCTCCACTCTTCATCCATCAGACTATAAGCAATACAGTGATTTATCCCTGTATCCATAAATCCAGGCTTTGGAAAGCCTTAGAAGTCTTTCAGCACGCAGCCTGTTATTCAATATCATCTCAGTTATATAGAGCTGTTACATAAAACCTTTACAGAGTGAGATTTGCAGATGGATTTCTCTAGTTCTGTTAATGACCTTTCCATTTGTATCAGCCCTGTAAGTTTTTCATCTCTAGCTGTATAGCAGTTGCAGTCAATTAATGAAACCCTAGGGTCTATATGGCACAGAAAGGCATAGTATATATGATGTTTCTGAGAGGAAAAGCATAGTTAATTCCAGCTTTCAGAAGCCAAAATTATAAGTGCAAAAAAAAAAAATTTAAAAAGTAAAAAAGTAATTTACTCCTTTAGTCGTAAGTAAGATTGGGTTTTTGCTAATTGAGTAGAGTGAGTAATTTTGCTAATGGGAGAAGAGGAGGAGCATTGTTTTAAAGTATATTGTATTATTATTGTGTATGAAAGCATTGCAGCAAATACCAAAGGGAGGAGAAATGAGAGCAGGGATTTACAAATGTTTCTCCTATTTTTCAGTGGGTGGCAATAGGTGTCAGTATTAGCACAGGAATTATTTTTTCACTGCTTAAAACCTTGCTCTCAGACTCACAAGCGGTTTTGTTATTTGTCATTCTGATTTTCTCAGTGGAAGAATTTCAGATTACACTATCTCCAAAGTATGTATTCCCTACATGAGTGCAGGAAGCTAGATGTGTCTTTCCCACCAAAGCTGCAAAATCTTAAGTTTCAAATGCAATTATGTGCCACTAGGAAAATTAAAAAAATATGTGTGAAAGTATGTTAAACCATCATTGATTTAAAAAGCCCCAGACAAATAATGGCTTGGTAAATGGTAGAATTTGGAATTGGACTATGATTTCTGACAGAATTTACTACATAGTGCAAAAAGGTGTTAATATATCGCATCAAGGTACATCACAGCAAGGTACATCACAGCAAGGTACATCAAGGCAAACAGGCTAATTTCTTTGCTGGTTTAATGCTACTGATTTACATCTGAGGTGCATTTAGCTCTCTACACATGAGATGGCTTCAGTGTGCATGGCTGTGACGTGGGCTGCAAGCACTGCAGGGCGGTGGAGGAGAGGGCAAGGAATGGGAGAGCTACAGCCACGCGGGCCTGGGAAGCTGCTTCAGGCTTCTCCCCAGGCTTTGGTTGTGTTTTTCTATTTTATTTTATGTTTTTTAGATTCAAACTTGCTGCTCATGCCTCAGCTGGTTTAACCTTTAGCTGACCTAGTTATTGCATCAGGGCAGCTGGTAGTAGCTGAAGAATTCAATATTTCTCCTTTGTTGATTGCCATTTACTGAGGAGCAAACAGAAACTGGTACAAGGCTGGGCAACATGCGCAGAGAGGAACCTGTGCTGGTGCTGCATGCACCAGGACTTCAGCAACTCCTAGTGTCCCCAGCCCTGCTGCACAACTAGCTTCAGTCCCTGATTACAAATGCATGCCAAAAAACCTGGGGAGTGGGCTACTGCAATGTAGGGACTGCTGGCCTGACCTTCTGGCCAGGAGCCTCCTGTTCCTTGTTCCATGTGCTACAGAGAGGGAGGGACATGGAGACAATCAGCAACAGGAAAATTCCAGTGTAACCCTACAACAACTGCAAGGAGCATGGACAAAGACATGTTTCAAAGGTAAGTGGTCAAATGCTGCAACACTATCATAGCACTGCAAATGAAGCTGGGAGATGGCACTGGCGCTGTGGTGATGCTGTGAGCTGGTACTGAGCCCCAACAGCAAGTGGTGGGTGGCAAACGTTGTGTGGCAACTCCTACACAAAGTGGGGAAGTTGGGGTTTATGGTGAAGGATATAATTAAAGATATTCATAGGAAGTATAAACAAAAGGTAACCTGCTAATTTAAATGACCTAGCCATAGGTTTTGACCCTGAAGACACTAAAGACCTTGGGGCTGCCTTGACTTTGTGGTTCATAGTAGCATTCTGCTGGTATTATGTATAACCAGCACATAAGTGCAACGGTGTTTTGTACTTGAGACCCTGGTTGCATGTTCCTGCTCTGAAGTGTAGTCCCTCTTGTGTAAGTGTACAGTTCCTCCTGAGTGTTGGGATTTTTTTTTGGCACAATTGGAACAGCAACTCTCCAAGTATCTGAACCTGCACAAGCACGTTTGTGCTGGTCCACTTTCTATTTAGTTATACCCTGCTGTACAACTGAGCTGTTGTGTATATCACCAGTGATCTCACTCCAACAGTCTTTATATTCTGTAAGTTGTTCCTTCAGTTCTTTCTGATCTTTCCCACTCCCCCCAGCTGATATTTCAGCTCAGGCTCCTGGTTTTACTGTCGGTCTCCTTAGCCACGCAGTATGACACAGAGCAACACTTGCCCTGGGGAATTTGAACAAAATGAATCCTAATGCTGCAAGGGTTGTGTAC